AATTTATACGTGACTAATTAAATTTTTTTACATTTACTTCTATTCTAATGTCTTATTTTTTCCTATGCTTATTTGATTCCTCTACAATTTAATTATACTTTTAATTACTGTAATTGTATGAACTTTATAATCGCAATTTTTACATTTTATATTTTGGCACAATTTTTTATATTTTTATTTTATATTTTATATTTTAGTATAATTTTCTTGTCCTTTATTAATTTGTAAATATTAGTAATATTAAATTAAGAAAATAATTGTTTAAATTGATTGTTTGCAGTACAATATGCAGCGAAAACTTTTGAAAACTTTATCTCTTTATTTTTTATTAATCACATGAAACTATATGCTTTACCATATGTACACATAAGTAATGCATTTCTAAATTCAAATGCACTTTTTTCTTATTATCATTGAATGAATACAACTACATTACATGATAATAACAGTATTTTTCTCGCGTCATTTCCGTTTTTCTATCTCAATTTATCATTTATTCAATTTTTTCCAAGATAGATATTTTCCTCGATAAATAAAATCCTATTAGTAAAAATGCTATAAAAAACACAATTTTATTTGTTTTTTAAAATTACATTGCTTTTACATTGCTTTATAAATAATTTCGCTATTTTGTGAAAGATATTAAACTCGCTAGTTTAGATAATTCACTCGTCGCTAACATAATCGATTTATTCTTTACTCTTATATAAGTATTCTTATATAAGTCTATTCTTATATTGTTCGTACTGATAATTTCAGAATGACGAGTCAAATTTTAATAACAAAATAAATAAATTCAAATTTTTAAAAGATCAATTTTTTATAGCAAGGGATATTAATAAAATTTTTACTTGTTTTTAGTTTAAAATATACGAGCTTCAAAATAAGAACTAGATCTACTACTCGTTTTCCTTATTTTGAGATATCCTCTATATTTCTTATCGCAGCTGCTGAGAGACGACCGTCTTTTGCGTTTACGAAGCACCAGTCGGGAAAATTTGACGGAAGCAGGACGTCAGGTTCGTGGAGAGTATCTCCACGTACCGCATCACATTGCCAGGACCACACTGGATGCTCGCAACCGTAGGTAGAATATTCACGGTTCCATTTTCCGAATTGATATTATATCGGAAAAGTTACGAGAACTGCATTCTCGATAGCAAGTTTTTTTTTTCGATACAAACCAATTGCAGTCAAACATGCACTCGGAGAATTCACGTATGTGGACTCTATGGAATTTAGTTGAGTGTGTAACTGTTTGTCTGACAAGAGCTAGAATGTAAGGAAAGGAGATAAGAAAAGGAAGAAAATGATATGCTATAGCGTCAGAAAAGTTTCCGACATTGATGCCATATATTGTAATACGTTATGGCACACACGACGCCACACAGAAATCGCGATGACACTTCAGCGTAGAAACTTCGTCGAAGAGCTTGCGCTCCCGAAGAAAGCTAAATTAGAGCTTTCATTGCCAGGTTCCTCTGGATGCTATGCGAGATGACGCGAATTAAGCTGGATAAATGGCTCACGGCGTTCCACTGACAAACTAACAAATGATACGAACAATTGCATGCTTTTCACGGCATAACTCGCTAATTTACGAATGCGAAGATATACATGCATTTCTTGTTCTCTTTATATCTTTACGTATTGTTTAATTAACTCTGTATAAATTTTCCCATAATAAAAATTTGATTTACTGATATTTTATCTTAAGATTTTAAGTTTATAATTATACTTACTAATGACTTATACGTACTAATGACTTACACTTTATCACGAAATATAATAATAATAATAATAATAATAATAATAATAATAATAATAATAATAATAATAATAGTAAAAACCACGAATTTTAATAATTTTATAATATTTAATAATTATATATAATAGATATAATTAAAACTTGAAAGCTTACAATAATTACAGTTACTAATACTGAAAACTAATACTGTTTATTTCCGATTATTTCTACGAACTTGTATGAATGCGTTCGCTTATTCGTGGAATAATTCCCACGTGCAAATTTAGACGGCAAGGAAAGGCGGGAAGGAAAGCAATCTGCAACTACAAATAATAGAAGGGAAAGATGAAGAAAAGAAACATCGAAGCGTGGTAAACACTCATCGCGATTAAACTATAGTAAATGTCGATAAATCTCGCTCTAGTTAGTCACTGTGTGGAATATTTCGACTATCTTAAAGAATAACATCTTAAGGAGAAAATAAAGCTTCGAAGAAAATAAGGAATTTTGATGGATTTTGTGACGCGGGAATTATTTCCATCGTGCAGATGCACGGACGAACAGAAATGCATATATTGTTTCAACATTTTACGGCAGACTTTCGGTACTTTAAACATTAATATCAGTGTGTTTCGTATAACTTGAAAACTTTAGCAGAAGGAATGAGGGCGAAGAAATCCGACTTTGATAGAACAAAGAATGTGAAAAATAGATTTCTCATATTGGAATATACGATTATAAACGCTTAGAGTGCTACATATATTTTGAAACAGACATACTCAAACTTTTGAAAGTTTTTTTAAACGTTGCATATTTCATAAACAATATTTCGACACAAAGTCAATATCGAAGAAGCAGAGATGCAATAAAAAAGCAAAGTTTTGAAAAAAAAATTCTTTTGATACACTCATAACACGTTATCTTTATCGAGTGTTTTCTTCCTTACTCTCCCTATCTATGCTATGAATTCTCGTCTATATGTAGGTATATTATACTAGAAACCGTGATATATTTAAGACATATTATAACTTTGAAAGAAAGTAAACAAACCAGATCACGTTTTATCGCGAACGAAGTTGAGAAAACACAAACTTGTTAGTTCTATGGAAGTGCATTTTGATGTTCTAATAATTAAAATATTCGGAACCGATGCAATCGAAAATAAGTTAATGCAAATATAACAACGGTATATTTACCCTTTTTTTACAACGACAAAATTTATGTTTACGCATGATCCGTTTGTATATTACAAAGAATCCTTCGAATAGTTTTCACTGTCTCTCAACTATCTTTAGAAACATATAAGATTGTAGTTCTGTTTTCGTCAAGCTTTATAAAAAATATTTTATTTCGAATTCAAAGCTTTAGTTTTCTAAAATGTTGACAGCTTCCAAGAAATATATATGATTCATATATTAATTCCTTGCTGTGTTGCATAAAACGCGCATAAATTTCCAGCATGAAATATTCCGAATTCGTACAATGAATTATTTCTACATGAAAGGTTATTTCAAGAACGATCTATAGTCATAATAGTTGTAATAAAAATATAAAATAAAATTTAAATCACTGATTGAAAATATTCTATTTAAAATAATTTAGAAGATATTACAATTTTTTTTTATGTAGCATGCAATAATATAATCAGTATTTAAAGATTTTAAATACTGATTTAAACTTATTATAGATAATTTTTTTATAAATGTTATATGTCTCTTTCGATGACTAATATATCGTTCCCTTATTACTTCAAAAATCACATAATTAATTAAAATACACATACTTAATTTTAAAAATTATAAGATTATTTTTCCGCAGAAAAAGTGAAAAATTATTTTTCACTTAACTTGACAGAAAATAATTGATTAATAAAATAATAAGAAATATATTAACAACATAATCAAATGTCATTTTAATTATTTTTGTTTTACAATTCTTAAAAAACACTCTTTTTGAGTGATATTTTATTAACAATTTTTCATGAAAAATTAGTTCCCTTTCGATAATTGATAATTGATGTAATGTTTATTTAATTCATTCACAGTAATAATTCAAAAATTACTAATTTTTTAGTTGTATCTTTTAAAGTAAAGAAGTTAAGTTGCATTTTTATTCAATTGAGTAGAAACATTTTAGCCTAAGAAAAAAAGCTTATATCAATTTATCATACATGAAATCATCTTGTTAAACGATCTTCTACCTCCTATATTCTCTCCTGTTTTTTAGACTAAGTGCGGAACGTTTCTCAATAGCAGTTTTTGCTATTGAGAACACTCTTCCTGTTCTTTTTCCATGTATAAACGATATTTCGTCACGAGCCGAAGGGAATTCGTGTCAGCATTTCTGCCCCAGAGTGCGATGAGCACGAGATCTTGCAGCGGAAAAGGGAGAGTCAGGAGACTTTATCCTTAATAGACAAACGAAATGCGGTAAATGCTTTGAGCAAACATCTTCGTGAACTCTGCGATCATGTTATACATCTTTCCTAAGACGCCCATATAAACTTTCGCGATAGGATTAGTGATTGATGCTAAAAGAATCACGCGTTGACGGCCTGTCGTGTTGGATAGTATCACGGACCTATTTCACTGTTTTGTTAGATAATGATGTGTACTTACTTTGCAACGTAAATGAAATGAAAAAGCTTAACAAAAAATTTATAAATAAAAATTAAACATAAACATATTATAAACATATGTGTATATGTGCACGTGCGATCTTATTTATCAATCTATTTTTTTTACCAGTAAAATATATTGAAAATAAAACATAATTTTTAGATAAAATTTATAAGATAAGAAAAAGAAAAATTAAAATAAAATTAAAATAGTTCAGAAAAATTTCCATGATGCAAATGATGCAAATGCGTTTATAAAATTTATTTATTTATTGTATTTATTTTTTTCTCTCAAATTCTATGTACAATATATTCTCTTCTCTTTCTTTTTGTTCATAATTTGTTTTCACTAACACGTAGCCATCTGATG